TCCTGTGTGTGTCAGAGTAAAACTATGTTCTTAGATAGTTTCCATTTCAATGGCAGGTTTGCAGCACTGGATTTCCAGTACCTCCTCATTCAGTCCTCCAACATTTGTTTAGCAGTCCAGTGTGCTACCTGGACTATTTGCAATTCTGTCTTTTATATGGCCTTCCTGCGTGGTTGCAGTAGTCTTTCTACCCTGGATCATACCCAGTCTGTTTTCTATTTTTTTAAATCAATTTATTGGGGCTCATACAATTCATCACAATACATAGATCAATTGTGTACAGCACATCTATACATTTGTTGCCCTCATCATTCCGAAAATTCACTTTCCTCTTGGGTTCCCAGAATCAGCTCATTTTCCTTTTTTCCCCTCCCTCTCCCTTCCTCCTCCCCTCTCCCCCATGCACCCTTGATAATTTATAAATTATTATTGTATCTTATATTACACTGCCCGGCATCTCCCTTCACCCACCCCTCTGCTGCCCATCCCCCAGAGAGGAGGTTATATGTAGCTCCCTGTGATCAATTCCCCCTTGCTACACCCCCCTTCCCTCCTGGTATCGCCACTGTCACCCCTGGTCCTGAGGGGCTCATCTGTCCTAGATTCCCTGCGTTTCCAGTTCCCATCTGTACTGCAGTCTGTTTTATAGACATTATCCGGATTAAAAAATGAAAGCAGAGTCTATCACTCAACTGATGGGCATTTTCATGTAGTCTGCTTTCATTTTGAATAAAATTCAAACTTCATCCCTAACTCTAGGCAGCTATACCCAGTTTGGTTCTGTCTTTGATCTGACATCTTCCAGCATTACTGTGTTTCCTTTCCTACTGTGGTCTGGCTACAGAAGCCTCCCTAGAGTTTCTCAGAACTCATCTCAGAACCTTAGTGCATGCTCTTCCCTCTGTGTATCAGTCCTCTCCCCAAATCGTCACCTTTCAAGCTCACTTACAATGCTACTTTCTTGGAGATATCCTCTTTAAGGGCCCCTAATTCTTACTTAAAATATCATGTTTTTTTAATATGACTTTCTGTAAATTCTGATGCATATTAAAATTAGAGATTCTCTAGTTTGGAAAACTGCTGTCAAAAAACATATGTGAGTCACATATGTAATTTACTGTGTTCTCTGATCATGTTAAAAAAAACAAAATGAAAGAAGCAAAATTTAATTTTAATAGGTTTTTAATTATGTTAAGCTATACCACATTATTATTTCACCATAAAAACATGGCAATATTTTCTAATAACTGAATGAAGTGTTTATGAATTTATATTTAAGTAAATTAAAATGAAATAAAATTTTAAAAACTGGTGCCTCAGTTGCACCAACTACTTTTCAAATGTGCAATAGGTGTTTATGCATAGTAGGTATCGCAAAACATAAATCTGGGAATTAGCCAGGTCTTGAGGCTTTTCACTTAAGGATATTTGGCAACAAATACTAGCGTAGCAATGCTCCCTTTCTTACCTGCATAGTTTTTTGCAGCCTCCAACGCAAACCAAACTCATTGCCATTGAATCAATGCTAACTCATAGTTAAATCTATCTCTAAAGATAGATTTAAAAGGGACCATGAATAATAGAAGAGCTGAAGGGCAGAATGACCTTGGATACAGAGCTAAGGGTGATGTCGCTGGTAATTTCCCAAGATCTGTCCATTCAAAAGCTTGCTTGCCACATACTCTTTACCGTGATACTACCATGACTGCCGTCCTGCTCAGGAGAAGCTGCTGGTAGGTATTTTAATACAAATGACTGCCTTCTGGTAGCCTCATTGATTAGATTAGGAAAGCCCCTAAAAGTTTAGACTGGCAAGCAGTTGACTGCATTATTTGGAACAAAATAATTAAGTTTGGTCCACTAGATTACCTTACTTGGGGATTCAAGTTAGGAAATACCAAAATAATGAGGCAGGTAATAGTGAGAGCTTAGAATGTAGGTGTGTGATATCAGGAAGGAGCAGATTTATAATGAGTTATTTGGCTGCCTAAATCAATGCAGGAGGAATTTTCAGTTGCTGTAGAATCTACCACAACTCATGGCAACATTATATATAACCGAACCAAATATTGTCCAGACCTGCGTATCCTTCATGATCATTGGTATGCCTGAGTCCATGGTCAAAGCTGTTGTATCATTCCATCTCATTGAAGGGCTACCTTGCCTTCCACTTTCCCAAGCATGTGTCCTTTTCTAGTTATTGGTCTTTCCTGATGACAGGAACAAAGTAAGCGAGCCAAAGGCTTGACAGCTTGCCTCCTGATGGATTGTATTTATTTCTAAAATGCATGATCTTTCTTTTGACAGTCTACAGTATATTATTTCTGGTCAATACCACAGTCCAAATACAATGATAATAAGGGGTAAGTATTTATGACAAGATATAAACAGGGAAGTTCATTTAAATGTCTGTCTATTTCCACATACCATTGTTTCCTTCTGGAATCCTTTTCCCAAGTCAGCATATGGCAAGCATTGTACTGTCTTTGGGTGCTTGTCTCAGTTGTCACCAGTCTGATCGTGCCTCTCTTGCTTCCCTTCCATGCAGCATTAATTTGTAACAAGTTTTGCTTTCTGTTTTGTATACAGCACTTGTGATATAGTGGTTATGAGTTAGGTTGAAATCGCTTGGGAGGCAGTTTGAAACCACCGGTTGCTACTTGAGAGAAAGCATGGGTTTTCTACTCCTGTGAACAGTCTTAGAAACCCATTGACTCCATGGCAGTGAGTTGAGTTTTTGGGTTGATAAAGCACTTGCAATTGACTTAGCCTTTCTCTATATCCGTTTAATATTTACTATTAATTCTTCTCCCCACCCCCATCAATGTAAATACGATTTAAGTGTGAAGCCTAAGTATCACAGGTCTTGCTATATATTCAGTATCAGGGCTCAGTGGTGCTGAACATCCGTTGCTGTTGTTGTAAGCTGATATTGTTGGGAGCTGCTGTTGTTGGTACCCTGTTTCCCCCAAAATAAGACAGTGTCTTATATTAATTTTTGCTCCAAAGATACAGTAGGTCTTATTTTCAGGGGATGTCTTATATTTCCATGAAGAAGGATACGGTAAACATTTATTGTTTATCGTTTTATTAAAAGAGACCTCGCACTTCCTGTCTGCTCCAGCTGCACGGCCAACAGTGAGCTGTGCTGCAGCACCTGCCGCTATGGTCCAGAGCCCAGAGTTATGGTAGCTTTGGGGGGCCTTATTATGAGGAGGCCTTATGTTTGGGGAGGTCTTATTTTTGGGGGGGTGCCTTATATTTCAGTGAGAGGCAAAACTGTAATTATGTTTTTTTGATGGGGGGAGGATGTCTTACTTTCGAGTAAACACGGTAGCTGCTACTGAGTTGGTCCCTGACACATGGTAGCTACTTGTACTGTAGCATCAAATCATTGTGATTCATAGGGTTTTTACTGGCTAATTTTTTTTTTTAAGAAATAGATCACCAGGCTTGGTGGGTAGAAAATGGATATTTGGTGACGAATGTGTGATAAATATTAATACATATGTGATGTATATAAAATTAAGTCCATAAGTATTGCTAATTTGCAGCATTTCTACTTGTTTTATGGAGTCACTATGACTGGAAATTGAGTTGACTGCAATAAGTCTAGATTTTTGTTGTTGTTTAATCTACTTCAAAATTCCATTTAAATTCCAAACCAAACTCACTGCCATTGAGTCAACGTTGACTCATAGAGACCTCCCTGTGGGTTTCCTAGACTACAACTGTTTATGGGAGCAGAAAGTCCAATCGTTAAACATGTATCAAATCATAGTTGAAAGAGAATAAGAGAAAAGACATTTATGTATGTGAATTTGCTATGAACTTCAGAATCTAAAAAGTCAGCTGATAAGAAGGAAATGATACCTCAATTTGAGTACCTGCAAGAAGTATTAGACTTATAATGCTCAGAACTTGGAAGTACCAGATAGAATGGAAGGCAGGGGTAATAAGCAGGGTTTAAAGCTGAAGGATTTCACCCCTTGTCTGTCATTTTGTCTTACTGTTGTGGCTGTCTGTTGCTGTGATGTTGGAAGTTATGCCACTTGTATTAAAGTAATATCAAAGTCACTCCAAGTAAATAGATTTCTGCAGTGCTTCCAGACTCAGAATGGACAATAAAGAAATAGGCTGTCCACTTCTGAGGAATGAGCTACTGAAAACCTTATGGGCAGAATTGAACCATTGTCAGATACTGAAAACCTCATGAAAAGAAGCATAATGCTTTCAGAAATACTGCCAGAAGATGAGCCCCTAGGGTCAGAAAAGACAAAAGAAGCATCTTTATGTATTCCTAACACTTTTAAATAACTTAGAAATAAGGCTAGCACATAACAAGCATTTAATAGTCTTTCTGCATCTTTAATTCTACATTGAAGTCATGGAGTTATTACTTTCCAAGAACTGGCTAAAGCATAGATTTGGAATTTCTTCAATATACTTCAATTTTTAATCCTATCTCTATCTATCTAAGGAGCTCTGGTAGCATAGTGGTTACATGTTGGAGTACTAACCACAAGGTCTGCAGTTTGAAACCACCAAGCACTCGGAGGAAGAAAGTTGGAGCTTTCTTTTCCCATAAAGAGTTACAGGCTTGGAAACCTATGGAGGCAATTCTACCCTGTTCTGTAGGGTCACTATGAGTCAACATCAGCTAACTCAATGGCAGTGAGTACCAGTGAGATCTATCTACCTGTTTTCTGAGTTCAATAATAGGTTTGAATCGTATATAGTTTAATATTTCTATACTTGTATAATTCAATGTCTGTATGTATCTGATTGTCTGCCTTTCTATCACTCAGTGTTAGAAGTCTTTCCTTCTATAAGGTAGAACCATGTTCCATTTTCAGCCAATGCACTTTATGTGCAGCCACCACCAATCTGTCTCTGAAGGTTGGCATGTTGCTGTGATCCTGAATAGGTTTCACCACAGCTTCCAGATAAAGTTGAAGTAGTAATTGAATCATGGTGATCTATTTCTTTTTCTTTTTTAGACATGTTTCCTGCATGGTTTGCCTCCTCAGTTATTGTCCACAGGACTCTGAGAAGCTGTAGGAATATTAAAGCGCAGACTCCAGGCTCAGCTTGATCTCCAACATTGTGGGAAAGGACTGTACATCATGGGGCTCTGATCCCTGTGCTCCCTTATGCCACCTGGGAACAGCCCGGGGAGAGTGATCACTCGGGAGTATCCATGTTGGAGGTGATCTATTTCTATAACTTAGCCAAGTAAAATCTATACATCAGGATGGTCTCGTCTTCAAACAATCATAGGCATAGTGCAGAACCAGGCAACATTTCACTATATCTTACCATGAACCATGTCATTTTCCATTAAAGAAAATTGTATTTCTTATAGTCATACAGCTGATTTTGCTGAAAATCAAACCCAGAACCTTACTCAGAGTAGCTGAATTACAATGCCAGAATTGTCACCTAGAGTGGTGACTGATGTTAAAGAGAAGACATTGATTTTGAAGAAGTGGAACCCTGAAACTGGTGGTGGGAACAGCTGAGCAGATAACCAAGAAGGTGAGGTCACCGAGCCCTTAAGTGCCTTAAATTGAGCCCCTTAAGTACCACCCATCCATCTTAAGAGATAAATCTACTATCAATCAAACCATTATCCCCTCTGCCCACACCGAGGAGAGTAGTCCAACTGTGCATTCTGATATGGAACCTGGTGCTACATATGGGATGTTTCCTGAGGTCAATGTCTCACAAGATAAGCTGAGAGTTCCTAGGAAACAACCTCACTGCCCATGTTTGCTTCTTGACCTATAGTTAGAGTGGAGTCTCAACAAGGCTCAAAAGATAAAGCCCAAATGGTAAGCAAGGAAAGGATGCACTATACTTCTAAATAACAGCTGGGGTTTTCTAATTTGTACAGATAGAAATAAAGAGACTATATAGGGAAATGATTATTAAAGTTGTGGGATAATGGTGCAAGGAACAGTCTGAATTTGGTGATATGGGCCCACTACACACAGGTTCTTCATTCAGTCTTTCAGCCTTAGAGGTTAGGAGAGGATCTAATCGTTTATTTGGCTGGTTTGTGCAATGGCCTACATTAAGTTAAACTGAAGCACTAGAAGTACCTTGGTATACTATAGAAGAAGATATGCAACGGTTTAGGGAAATTGGCCTGAATTTATCAGGATGAACCCAGAGACCGACACATGGATTGTCCTGAGGACATAACTTTTACCACAACAGTATGAGCAAATCTGAGACCAGAGTCCCAACTTCTCTGAAAACTGATGTGACTGATATTTTATGGAAGTCAGTTTTGAGAGTGGGAACTGCCCTAATTGAATTGTGTAGTGTGGTTACATGTTCGGCTGCTAATTTCAAGCTCAGTAGTTGGAAACCACCAATCCAATCAATGGGAGAAAGATGAAGCTTTCCATTCCCATGAAGAGTTATAGACTCAGTAACCCACAGGGCAGTTTTGCCTTGTCCTATAGGGTCACTATGGAGATAGAATCAACATATTAGTATCAGTTGGGCTTTATTGTTGTTGCTTTTCTTTGTTTGTTTTCTGTAGAGACCAACTATCTCACTATGGGCTACCAAGTCACCATGTGGCTTCAGCTGTCCGTCACAAATGGGGCTTTGTCAGGACCCTAGAACCACGAAGTTAAACATGCACAGCAGTAAGCCACCTTTAAATGGAAGCCGTATACTAAAGATCAGGCTTGAGCAGGACCTGAAGGTACAAGTAAACAGCATGAAGAAGTGGCTCAAATGCCTATAGTCTGCATTCTCGTCACATTATTCCTTTTCCCCCTACCTGTACCTATGACCGCGTGGAGAGTTCCTTGTTGGCAGCTGGCTGTGGAAGAGAAAACTCATGCTTGGTTTGCTGACGGCTCTGCACAATATACCGAGATCACTCTAAGGTGAACAGCTCTTTGTAGAACATCCCTCAAGAACATGGATGGAGGAAAATCCTCCCAGTGGTCAGAACTTTGAGCAGTGAACATAGTTTGTCTTTTTTTCCTGGAAGGCAAATGGACAGATCTGGGGTTTTATAGTGATTCGTGTGCTTTGGATACTTGTTTGGCTGGATGATTAGGGCCTTGGAAGGAGCATGATTGGGAAACAGGTGATACAGAAGTATGGGGGAAAAGTATATGGTTAGACCTTTCTGAATAGACACAATAAATGAACACATTTACATCATATGTGAACACTAACCAAAGGGTTGCCTCTGTAGAGGTGGACTTTAACGATCAATTGAATAGGATGACACAGAAGCCAATCAACTAAACTCCCCAGTCACTCCTGTCATTACCGAATGGGCTCATTAACAAAGTGGCCATGGTCGCAGGGATGGAGGTTATGGGTAGACCCCGAAATAAGGACTTCTGTGCAGAAAGACCAATTTAGCTACCACCTCTGAAGAGCCCACTATACCAAAGCAGAGTGGTCTCCCTCTGAAAACGGAGACCATATATGGAACCATTCCTCAGGGAGATCCACCAGCAACAGTTGGCAGATCGCTACACAGGACCACTTCCATCAGGATAGGGCATGTCTTGTTCTTGTTTTAATATACACTTACTCTTGATATGGAGTTGCTTTCCTTGCACACAAATTTTCACTCAAAACTACTGTCTATGAGCTTATAGAATGACTTGTCCATCAGCATGGCATCTCCGACAGCATCACCTCAAATCAAGGGATTCACTTCACACAAATTAAATGTGGGAACAGACCCATATTCATGGAATTCACTGGTCTTAATATGCTCCACCTTGAAGCAGCTGACTTGATATTTAATTAAATGACCTTCTAAATTTAATTATTTTACCAAGTCAGTGCCAGCTAGGTGGCAATAGCTTGCAGAATTGGGACGATGTTCTCCAGGAGGCTGTATATGCTCTAAAACATACTCTATACCAAACTCACTGCCATAGAGTGGATTCTGACTTATAGTAATCCTATAAGACAAAGTAGAACTGCTCCTGTGCATTTTCCTAAACTATAAATCTTTGATATTTTTTATAAGGAGCAATCGAGTTAGTTTCAACCCATAGTGATCCCGTGTTCACCAGAAGAGAGCATGGTCTGGTCCTGTACCATCCTTACAACTGTTTCTTTGTTTGAGCCCATCAGTGTAGCCACCGTGTCAATTCATCGTGTGAGAAATCTTCCTCTTTTTTGTTGTCCCTCTACTTTATCAAGCATGATGCACTTCTCCAGGGACTAGTCTCTCCTAACCACATGCATCAAGTTCCTGAGATGAACATCACATTCTGCCTGTACTTCTTTCAAGACAGATTGTTATGTTCTTTTGGCAATCCATGGTACTTTCAATATTCTTCGCCAGCACCATAAATCAATTGCATTAATTCTCCTTCAAATTTCTTTTTTCAGTGTCCAACTTTTGAATGTATATTACCTGATTGAAAATATAACGGCTTGGCTTAGGCTCACCTTAGTCCTCAAAGTAACATCCGTGCTTTTCAATACTCTAAAGAGGTCCTTGTGCAACAGACCGACTCAATGTAACTCATCTTCTGATCTCTGGACTTCTGCTTCTATAAGCATTGGTTATGGATCCAAGCAAGACAAAATCATTGACAACTCCATCCTTTTCTCCATTCATCATGGTGTTGCATAGTGGTGAAGTTGTGAAGATTTTGGTTTTCTTTACATTGAGTTGCAATCTGCATGGAAAGCTGTAATGCTTGATCTTTATCAGCAAGTGCTACAAGCCCTCCTCACTTTCAGCAAGCAAGGTTGTGCCACCTCCATATTGTGGTTATTAATAAACCTTCCAATCCCAATGCCGAATTCTTCTTCTTATAATCCAACTTCTTTGATGATTTGCTCAGCATACAGATTGAAAGTGTGCTGAGAATATGCAATGCTGACATACACCATTCATGATTTTCAACTATATAGCTTTCCTTTGGTGCTATCACAACTGCCTCTTGATCCATGTTCAAGTTCTTTTTTTTTCATGTTCAAGTTCTTAATGAGTACAAAGTCATGTTCTGGGATTTGCATTCTTCTCAAAGCTATCCACGGTTGTTATGATCCACACAGTCGAATGCCTTGCAATAGTCAATGAAACACAAGTGACCATCTTTCTAGTATTCTCCACTTTGGGTCATGATCCAACTGACACCAGCAGTGATATTCCTTGTTCCACGCCCTCCTCTGAATCCAGCCAGAACCTCTGGAAGCTCCCTGTCAATGTACTGCTTTAACCGTTGCTGAATTATCTTTAGCAAAAATTACTTGCATGTGATATTAATTATATTGTTTTATAATCTGTACATTCTCTCAGATCACTTTTCTTTGGAATCAGTACAAATAAGGATCTTTTTCAATCAGTTGATCAAGTAGCTATCTTCTAAATGTCCTGGTACAGGTGAATGAGTGTTTCCAATGTATCATTAGCTTATTGAAACATTTCAAATGGTATTCCATCAATTCCTGGAGGTTTGTTTTAGGCCAATGCTTCAGTGCAACTTGAACTTCTTCTTTCCAATGGTTCTTGCTCATATGCTGCTTCTTGAAATGGTTGAATGATGACAAGTTCTTTTTGCCTCTATCTATGTTTTCCATTTTCTCTCGACACTTCCTGCATCATTTAGTATTTTGCCCATAGAATAGTTCAATGTTGCAATCCAAGGCTTGGATTTCTTTTTCTTGAATTTTTTGATTTAAGATATGCTGAATATGTTCTTCATTTTAGGTTTTCTAACTCTATGGGTCTTTGCAAATTTTGTTATAATATTTGACTACGTCTCCTCTAGCTGCCTTTTGAAATTTTCTATTCAGCTCTTTGACGTCATCATTTCTCCCAGGTGCCTTAGCTTTTGTGTTAAAATGTCTCTGTCAGGTAAGCAGCAGATTGATAACTGCAAGGTTGGTGGCTCCCTGGGAGAGAGATGAGGCCATCTGCTCCCAGAAAAGTTTACAACCCAGAAACTGTGTACAGCATTGCTATGGGTTCAGTCAACTCCATGACAAAGGGTGGGTGTTTCCTCTAGCCACAGCTCGGTACTTCCGGACACTTCTAGTATCCGCCGATCTTTGTTCCTGTCTCTATAGTTTTGCCTATTCCAGACTGTCGCATAGGTGGAATTATATATAGTGTGCACTGTTTATATTAGTTTCTTTCATTAGCATTATCAACTTAAGCTTCCTCAATGTCTTTTATTTTAACTTCATAACTAAATTTTATCATTGAATAATATTCCATTGTATAGATTTGCCAAAGTTTACTTATCCATTCGTTTTTATGGACATCTTGGTTGCTTTCAACTTGGGATAATTATAAAACGTCTATAAATATGTATACTCAGATTGTTTTGTGTGTGAATATAAAATTTCAAGTCCTCTGTATTAGGAGCACTACCACTAGATTATATGGTAAGACCATGTTTAGCTTTGTAAAAAATCACCATACTGTCTTCCAAAGTGGTTGCACCATTTTTCACTCCTGTTAGCTATGAATCAAAGTTATTATTGCTCCCTCCCCCCCTTGCATTTGGTGTCCTCCATGATTTGTACTATAGCCACCCTAATACCTGTGCATTAGTATCTCATGTTTTCTTTTGTTTTTTAATCTTAGTGACATGATATTGCAGCCCTGATGGTGTAGCAGTTTGTAGATTGGAACCACTAACTTGTTGGTATAGTAGGTTATGGATTGGAACTGCTAACTACCAGTTCAGAAGTTCAAACCCACCAGTGACTCCAAGTGAGAACAATGAAGCCATCTGTTCCTTTGGAGATTTAGTCTTGGGAACCCTAAGAACAACTCCAATTTACTCTATAGGAAATCAACTATGGGCAATATTTTATTTATGTGTTTGTTTGTTTATTTGCACTGGGGTTTTTGAATGACATGATTTATTGAGCATCTTTTCATATCTTTGTTTACCAGCTATATATCTTATTTCGGGAAGTTTCTGTTCAGAGCTTTGCCCATTTTGTAAATTGTTTGCTTTTTTGTTTTTGATAAGCATTTTCTCCCAGCCAGTGACTTTTCTTTCATTCTTTTAATATTAACTTTTAATAATCTTCCACCAGAACAGTAAACATAACATTGATGAATATTTTTAAAATTTATGGATGCTGTAGTGATCAAGTAGTCTTGGTAGTGTAACAGGTTACATGCTGGGCTGCTAACCAGAAGATCAGCAGGTCAAAACCACTGGCTACTTTGAGAGAGAAAGATGAGGCTTTCTACCCTTTGTTGAAGAATGATATTCTTGGACATCCTTAGGGGCATTCTACTTTGCCCTAGAGAATACCTCTGAGGAAATGGCTTCAAAGCAGTGAGTTTGATATGGAGTATGTTTTTGACAATGATCAGGATAGTGTAGCATTGGAGAAAGAACAGACAATGAGATAATGAAGCAGAATAAAGAGCCCAGAAATAGACTCACACCAGTAAAGCCCACAGAACTTTGCCAAGGAGACAAAAGCAATTCATTGAACAGTGTTGGAACAACCAGGTACAAGCAAAACTATCGTCCCTGCCCTCAAAAAAAGGGAGCCCCAAGGGGGGGGGGGGCACAGACAAATTTGGATAAAATGTTTGCACCTTTCACAATTCTGAATAAATTGATCAAAGACTTAAGTATTAAATATAAACCTATACAGTTTCTAGCTGGTCTCAGACAGAAGGTCTAGGTGACCTGAGTCACCTTAGATGACTTAGTCCTGAGTGTTTAAGGATAGCATCATGACTCATAAAAAGAAAATAAGAGCAAAAAACTATGCTGGATCTCATGAAAAATAAAACAATACCTGCTCTGCAAAATAAATCATGATTTTATTAGTATATTACAGATGAACAGTCACTGAACTCTGCAAGAGCTTTCAGTTGGATTTGGGGGTTGTATAAGAACATATTTTGCAAATAATCATTTTGCTTCCAATGTTTACAATTGTATTTCATTTTCTTACCCAATTGCCTTAACCAGTCCTTCAGAATCTTGCCAAACAACAGAGATGGAAGCGGTCGCTGTTTCCCTCTAACCGTACTGAGCATGCTTCAAGCATGTAACAAATGACATTTCAGTGGTTGTCAATAAAAATGCCACGAACTGTTTTCGAACTTCTCCTGAGGTTTTTTTTACTGGCCTTTTTTTTTTTTTCATCCCATAACTTCAGCCCTGGAAATTCCCGCTACTTGTTTGAAGCTAAATAGTAAAGTTATTCAACCAGTGCTTAAAAGATTAAAAATTGGAGACCATTCATTGCTTGTGCGGAAAGAGAAGCCAGCTAACCCCACAGGCAGAAGCCAAAGCAGAGGGTTAGAAAAAGTTCCTCAAGAAACTCCCTGTGCAAGGCAAAAAGAATGTAGACGCAGGGAGGAGTCAGGCCACCCTCCGCCCCCAGCCCCTGGTGGTTGCCACCCGCCAGGGTGAAATGTGAGCCCAGTGGTCACGGAAGCCAGAGCGCGTGGGGACTGACAAAGAGACCTGGGCCCCCAACTCAGCCCGGCCCGGGCAGCGTGGGCCCCAGCGTTCCTGGAGCCCCAGGGTGCCGGCCGGGACCTCTCTGAGGTCCTCTGGGCAATGGCCTTGTCTCAGCCGGACTCTGGCCCCCTTGGGAGCGCGGCTGTCTGCATCTGACTGCCCTTCATCCTCTTCCTCCCTTCCCGTTCCCGGCGCGCGCTCCAATCTCTGGCCTCTCCTCTTTGCGTCCATCTGTCGGTCCGCGCGCACCACTCCGGCTACCCGCTTGGATGGACGCGCCCAGGCGGCCTGGGCGCACAGGCATCTTCCTTTCCAAGTTGCTCCTGATCTTTGTCTGCACAGGTCAGTGAAAGCCGACGGCGAGGAAGGGAGCGTGGGCTGCGGGCTGTCGCTTGGGTGACTGGAACCCACTTGGTGCCAGAGGGTCTGGGGAGCAAAGGTGACCCTGACCCGGAGAACAGCGACGCTAGCGCTGAAATCCAGGGCCAGCCCTCCACGCTGTTTGGTTTGTCTTCCTTCCTCTTCTGCTCCCTCCTCTCTTTCTCCTTCTCTTGGCCTCTGCTTTTCCTTGCACTGCTAGCAAAACAACTTGGAAACTCCATTCTAGCATCCAGTGGGGTTTGCTCTCCAGGTAGGGTAAGATGTATTCAATTGTATCCACAACCCACGTGGAAGCTTAAGACAAGGACCAGTCAGTCGTAAGGGCTGGGAGGGAATCCGTTTTTAAAAGGCACCTGAAGTTCAGAGGCACCGCTGAAGTTCTCCAGCAAAACTACTCAGGTGGCTTTCATTTCGGCACACTCGCTGGTCAACCACTTTCTAAACTTAATGGCTTTTTTCCCTTGTAGAAATAAACAGCGTTATTCCTTTCTTTTGATTCGTTAAAAGATGATTCACAATGTGCATGCTAGACTAGAGGGCTCTTTACGTTTAAAGATAAGGTTGTTGAGAGAGGTGAATTCATCCGGATTCAAAGCTGAATTCACTGATTTCATTAAGGACTTGTTTATGCGTGAGGGACCTCTCATTTCCCTCCTCCTAATCATTCTTAGTGAGGTTGCTAATAATTGATGAAGCAAAGAGATTTCCTTACTTTGTGATTGATAAGGAGTCACAAATGGCCTTTCATTAGCCATTCATGTGTAAAGTTAATTAACATGTGATTTTGCATGTGTAAAGTTAATTAACATGTGATTTTGCAACTGCTTCATAGTCACAATACTGTGCAAGCTGAGGGTAAAATTCTTTATGAAACATTTTGCTGTCTCTGACTATGAGACAGGACAAAATCCACAGGCTTACCCATGACCTTGGAACACAACATTTATTCACAGCACTTTGATTTTTTTTTTTTTTTGGATGCTCACAGAAAGAGTGCCGTTGAAATGAACATACTCTTCAACATTGTTATCTGAGCATCAGAATAATTGAGTCTCTCATTCAACCTTGCCAGAAACGAGTCAAAAGAAGTCCAAAGAAAATGTTAATGTGCCTATTAAAATGTAAACGTATGGCTGTCCATACACTGTCATTTTAAAGATATTTTCTTATAAGCACATGGTTGGCTTTCAATCATAAAAATTCTTAAGATTAGGAGAAATTCCTTCTATAAGCACACCTCCTTTTATTGTGCTTCTCTTTATTGCGTGCTACCAATGTTGTGTCTTATTAAAAATCAAAGGTTTGTGTCAAACCTGACATCGATCAGGGCTATTTTCCAACAATGGGTGCTCATGCTGCATCTCTGTGTCACATTTCAAACCGGCAATTCACGCAGTGTTTCAAACCACCTGCCTTCCGGTCCATTCTGACTCTCCATGGCCCTACAGGGCAGAGTAGGACTAGAAGTTTCTGAGACTGTAACTCTTTATGGGAACAGACAGACTCCTCTTTCTGACTACTGGATTTGAACAACTGACCTTGGGCTTAGCAACTCAACATTTAACCCACAACGCCTCCAAGGCTCCATTAACAGCCTATGGTAATGTCTACTAGGAGCCCTGGTGGTGTAGTGGTTATGTGTTGGACTGTGATTCACATGGCCGGCAGTTCAAAACCACCAGCAGCTCCTAGGGAGAAAGTTGGGACTTTCCTGCTCCTCTAACACTAGGTTCTCACCCCACCACCCCACCCCCTCTGCTGGGGGGGTCAGGACACTAGAAAAGTTGGCCAGCAGCAGTGTTGATAGTTTTCTCTCCATTCATTTCTTCTTTGTGTCTGCATCCAACCCTAAAGCAAAGAAAACAAAAACAACTACTGTTGGTGGATTCCAACTCCGGCTCACCTGTGTGTGTGTTTCACGTAGCACCATGCTCCGCGGGGCAGGCTCTGAAGTGTTGGCAGTAGATTGTCAAGCCTTTCTCCTGAGATGCTTCTGGGTGGATTTAAACTTTCATCCTCTGGTTAGCAGGCCAGTGCCTAACTGTGTACACTATTTAGGGACTCCATCCCTTTCTAAAAGCTACAAAGTAATTACAAAACAATCATGGGTTAATTTTTTATCTTTGATAAGAAATGTGTAAACCATAAGGGCTCAATGTATTAACCTGAAATTTCTATGGCAGATGTCTTTTTATGCTTGCCATATTCAGTCAATCAATAATTATTGAATCGTGCCTGTTATGTGACAAACAGAAAAGAAACCCTGCTGAGCTTTACCGGGCAGATAATGCGTGCCTATAAATTACTCTCATGTAAAGGGCTGTGCCATAGGAGAGGTACAATGTGATACAGGTGTTCCAAAGAAGTTCTATGGGAATGCAGTCCATTTTGTTTAGTTAACTGATCTTAGAAACCAGCAAAATACCTGGTCCATAACACACACAAAAAACAAGTGCACTTGCTACCGAGTAGATTCCCACATCCAGTGATGAGACAGGACAGGGAAGAGCTGGCCCTGGGTTTCTAAGACTGTGGAAAGCCTCATCTATCTCCCAAGAAGCACTGGGTGTTTTCCAACTGGTGACTTGATTAGCAGCCCTACATGTAACTCACTGCAGCACCAGGTCTCCAAGCCTGGCTTGTAAGAGCTCAATACAGTTCAGTGGTATTGAATGGAAGAGGATTTCAGAAACTAGATCATTGAAGGCTTGGAAAGCCTTGGACATAGGGAGTTGAAGAAAGATACAGTGTGAGCAACGGCAAACATGACACATATATGCAACAATGAATAATTCACTTTGACCTGGGACTAAGAGATACAGCTGGAAGTGAGAAGTTGGGGTTAGATAAGAGAAAACAAAATACAAAACCAAAACCAATTGTCATGGTGACTCATAACAAGCCTACAAGACAGAGTAGAACTGCCCCTGCGAGTTTCAGGGACTGTAATTCTTTCCTGGAGTAGAGAGCCCCTGCGGAGTGGAGCAGCTGGGGGTTTCAAACTACTGGCTTTATGGTTTGCAGTCCAATGCTTGATCACTATCCCCAGTGCTCAGAAATTACATGGTCCGGACACTTACTCTGTGCACTGCTGGCTTTTATGGGATGCAGCCCTAAACAGATCCACTGTCTCTAACCCGAATTACTTTTCACAAGACAAATACATGCAATCCAGTTTAAGCAAGTAAGAGCAGAGTTTCTACCACTGAAGCATAGTATTCTACTGGGAATATCTTTTGTTTTTATTATTTAAAAAAATGTATTGGGGCTTCTTACAGCTCTTAGAACAATCCATGCATTCATTGTGTCAAGCAGATTTGAACATATATTGCCATTATCCTTTTCAAAACATATTCTTTCTACTTGAGCCCTTGGTATCAGCTCCTCATTTTTTTCCTCCTCCCCCACTCTCCCATGCTCATGAACCCTTGAGGAATTATAAATTATAATTTATAATTTATAAATTATTATTATTGTCATATCTTACACCGTCTGCTGTCTCCCTTCACCTATATTTCTGTTGTTTGTTACCCTGGGTGGTGTGGGCGTGGGGTGGGTGGGTGGGTGGCAGGGAGTTTATACTGGAATCTCTTTTATAAAGAGACCCAAGCTAATGTTTTTATTATTGTCCCACTCCTATTGCACAAAGACAGGATTCAGCCAAGGTTTTACTTTCCGGGCTTCAGCTGGGGACTCTGTCCCTCCTTTTCCTTCCTCTGAGATCCTTAGCCATAGCTTACAAGTGCTGCATGTAAGTGGAGAAAAAGTGCTTAGAGCCAGATATGTTGCTCTTCCTGGACTACACATTTCTTCAAGCGGGGTGTTGGGGAACCAGCTTCTAGCTTATGCCCTTAATGAAATCCATGGAGGAAAGTTTGAACTGGCTAATTTTCAGGGATATGAACTTGGAGATTAGAGGTGCTACTATTTATCTTCTGAACCAATTGAAATAATTCATTCTTTAAAAGTGATAGAATACAAATGTATAAAATACAAACTTCATCTTCATACAATCGATTTCAAGTGCTCTGGAGAAAACCATGAATGTATTTAAATAAGGTTTGAAAACATTACTTTGGAAATGCTGTGATTATGAATGTATTTGCTATACCATTAAACCTGTCCTTTCAGTATCTTAATTCCAGAAATAGACAGGGCACAGGATCATATATTTAAATTTATGAACAGTTTGTGACATGATCTAAATGTTTGCTGCAGGTATGATCTAGTTTCTTGGCTACCAGATTTTGGGCTTGGTTTCCTGTAATGCTGACTCAAAAATATTTTGTTAACATCATGTCCTTATAATTGTAGTAAATAGAGTACAACTGTAATCATTGAATCTCTGATGTCCATGGGGAGTTTAGTGTGGTCTCACTATCTTGTACTATCATTCAAAAGGCATCTCACAAGCTGCTTAGAGGTTGTTTGTTTTGATGGGGTGGAAAAAGTGGGGACAGCAACTATATCATGATTTGATTGGTTTTTAAGAATATGAAGCAAAGTTCCTACCAAAGCCTTGAAACAACTGACTAGTGGAAATATTTGAATACATTAAATAAAGCACTAATAATGTCTGGCTTCCTGGGTGATACAATCTGTTTTAAACTATGAGCTGAAAGGTTCGCAGTTCGAACACCCAGAAGATAGTTTGGCGATGTGCTTCTGGAAGGCACTTCTGGCCAAGAGGTCACAAACTTGAAAACCCTGTGCAGCAGTTCCACTTTGCACACAGGAGCTCAGTGGGTCAGAATTAACTAGGAAACAACTAACAGCAGCAGCAGTGTCTTGGGGGCAGGAAGGCAATGGTAATTCAGGGGCAGAATTCTCGACTTCCATGCAGGACACTAAAATATCTTTAACATGATCATGCGGAAATAATGATGATGATGATGATGATGATGAAGTCTTCATGGTGAAAAGTAGTGCCCAAACAATTATACATACCTCAAATGTGTAATATAATAGGCTTCACATATTGAAGTTAATTAATAACAACATGTTGTACATAACCTGGATACTATCTGTCAGTGTGTCTATATACGTGTGTATGTGTACACACTCACACACATACAAATCTATAGAAAAATCCCTGGTGAAATGATAAAATACATAGCTTAAATACTTTGACTTTGCAAAAGCATTCAATACCAAAGCAAAACTAAATTAGCTTCTTCTTTGGTTCTAAATAATTAGATAATATTTTGGTCCTAATGTTTTGAAAGTGAATTTTAACTTTAATTACTGGATCTTATGAACGCAATTATCTTCACTCTTATTTTTTTCTTATCACAATGAAGTAAATCTGAAAGTTCAGATTTGTTCATCTATAGGTTAATAAAAAATTGAGGGTAAAAAATATAAACTTCCACTTGTTCCACAAAAGTTAGGTATTGCTGATAAACTGATGTGAATTCTGCTACCTCTGATCACATTCCATCCTAAAGAGTCATCCATGCAGCGAGGTGACTTGAAAACAAAATCTGAAATTTCTCTTTTGAATTGGTCAATTACATGGGCATGTAGCTATAAATATAGCATTTTCCCTTTTACATTATGACTTTTGTGGGTCACAGCAGTATTATGCCATTTATACCATTGATGATAGTAACATAAGTGTGAGCTACAACTTCTTTATTTGTGGCGTCTTGAACTTATAAATCAGAGAAAGAAAGGTCCTACTTTGCCTTTAGGAAGTTAAAGTCTAATGGAGAAGAAAGACTAGTGTGGAACACATAATTCTTGCCTTTACTAGGATATTTCCCTGGGTGTGTTAGATAAAAATTGAGTGCAATAAAGTTTGGTCAGCACCACATTAGGATATGAAATAGTGTGAGTTTCCCCATGAGCATGATGTTTGAATTGTAACTGCACACCTGGAACATTTATTTTGCAGATGGCTGCCTTGCTCAGTGTGGCAAAGACTGCAAATCTTACTGCTGTGATGGGGCCACACCCTACTGTTGCTCCTACTACGCCTATATTGGGAACATCCTCTCGTGAGTATTGGTCATATTTAAAAATTAATGCTAATGATCTGTCCCCAGCCCAGTTTTGTCTTAACAATGTAGAGATTTAACACTGCTTATTGAGGTAAAATATTTACTGGAAATTTTAAGTGATCATTGAATGTGCTATATGTTTCTTGATTTTTAAATAGTTTTGTTAAGATATAATTTACATATCCTACAATTCAATATTTCAATCATATTAAGAAGAGATGTGCAGTCATCACCACAATTTAGGACAATTTCTTTTTTCCTGCATTGTTGTTGCCTCCCCACCTCCGCTCCCCCCGCCCCCCGCCCCCTCCCCAGGGAGAAGCAGGGATCTGCGTCCGGAAAGTTTTCGCCTCGGGAACGCCCTGGGCCACTCAAAACTTGTTCAGGTGGCTGAGGGGAAACTTACAAAGCAAAGCGCGACGTCGTCGTTCTCAGTTGGGTTCTGGGAGACCGGACTCGCCCAGGTGAGGCTGGTCTGGCCAAGAACCACCTCATTTCATTGCAGTTTTGCTGTTGGTTTAAGGGGCCAGCGTTGCCACGTGGGGGAGGAGCTGCAAACACCGCAGGTGGCGCAGTTGGT